ATATTTGGAGTGACCTCGTGGGCAGTAACGTGCCAATTTGACCCCAGCGGCCGCCCCTTGGTGGGTGTTGTCAATATTGGGTCTGTAGACACTATAGATATTCTTTCTTCCATACGTACTCTAGCGCACGAGTTACTGCATGCGTTGGGATTTTTATTTAAAATATTTGAGAAGAGGAACATGCTTGATAAAGTGTCTGTTCGCAATAAGGAACAAAGTTATGTTCTGAAGTCGCCCAAAGTGGTGGAAGTCGCGAGGGCTCATTACGGGTGCAGTACCATGCGGTACGTGGAGTTGGATGACATGGGTGGCACAGGGACTGTTGGCTCACACTGGAAGATGCGCAACGCAAAGGATGAGTTGATGGCTCCTTCCGATTCTGCAGGTTTCTACACTGCCATCACCATAGCAGCGATGGAGGACACGGGCTACTACAAAGGCAACTACCGCAATGCTGAAAGCATGGCATGGGGTAAGAATGCCGGTTGTGTGCTCTTTGATAAGAACTGCGTTATTGACGGTGTGTCGCAGGTGCCGGAGATGTTCTGTGACGATAAATATTATTCAATAAGTGACTACAAGTGTACATCAGACCGGATGGGTATTGGAGACTGCGCAATTGCATTTTATTTCAGTTTGCCAACATATTTCCAGTACTTCCCAAATCCGATAATGGGTGGAACTGATTTTTTCATGGATTTCTGTCCGTATATTAAAGCAGATTCAGACTTTTTGTGCCTAAATGGGGATGAAGAAATGCTGCCCGGTTCTGTGTTTTCAGAATCTGCGCGATGTTTTTCAGCTGTCACGAAGACTTCCATCAGGATAAGCGATGACCAAAATATGCTCTCTATTTGCGCAGACGTGCAGTGTGACAAGGACACTTCGAGGTACCGGGTGCGCGTGAAGGGCGCCAGTGATTTCGTGGACTGTCCACCCGGTACTACCATCTTAATTTCTGACTACAGTGGTGAGTTTAAATCCGGCGCAATCACCTGTGCACTATATGAGGATGTATGCCCCAAATCCCTTTACCCCGACGATGACCGCGACAATAACAATGACGAAATCATCAGTGCCACATCCGATACGACTAACATCACGTACTAGTGCAGCGCTGGCTGAAATGATTGTCCTCACTAAACAATAACAGGGGGCAACGTGCGTGAAGAGGATGAACCGCAGGAAACATGCACTAGACAGGGATGTAGAACGGTAAAATTGTGGCAGGTGCCTATAAGCTGACTCGAGATCGTTTTTTTAATTGGAATTATATTCCTTCTTTTTCATTTTATTTAGCAGACAAATCTTTCTTTCCTTATATATATATAAATTGTCTTCTTTTTTATTTAGACGTACGGGAGGTATTCTTTCCCATCGGTGTGTAATTTTTAAATCGTGTCTTATCAAGAGTGAGGAAAATCACCAACTGAGTCGGTTTACGTGCGTATACACACATCATTAAAAAATGCTGAAGGAAAGCTGTGTAGCTAAGGGATGTGTGTAGTTTAGATTCTTTTGGAATAGAAGAAGTATAACGAGTAGAACAGTGCCGAGGTAAACACTTCGATACGCTGTCCTCGTTTTTGCAGTAAGTGTGTCAATTTATTTCTACTGTTTAATCAATAAATATATATTGCTTTCATAAATAACACACGCGTGTATCTTAATCACTTTTATACCATTTTATATCCTAACAGAATCAATGCCTACACTGCTGTTCTTTATTCACTCTGGTTGTGGTAC